GCCCGAAGAGAAATGTTAGCGGAGGCAGCACATGTGAAATGGTGTGCAAAGATTTCCAAGGGTAAGAGCAAAAAGCAAGGGGCAGTGCAGTCTTACCACAGTGTTGGAAAGCGTGTACACACACACACACACGCACACACACACACGCACACGCACACACACACACACACACACACACACGGCCCTACTGGCAGATGGTTTGGCTCAGCTGGTTGAGGGTCAACTATGAACCAGGAGTTCTCAGTTTGATTCCTGGTCAGAGCACATGCCTGGGTTGTGGGCTCGATCCCCAATGTGGGGCATGCAGGAGGCAGCCAATCAATGGTTCTCTCTCATCACTGATGTTTGTATTTCTCCTTCTCCCTTCCTCTCTGAAATCTATTAAAACACACAAAGAATTCACATGCCTGTGCACTTTGGTGATACAATGGTGTTGTCTCAGACGGGGCCCCTGTTTGCCTGAGGCTCAGAGGTGGGAGACATATTCCTTTCTCCCTGTCCTTGTTTGCATCTTTGAATTTGAAGCCATATACATCTCTTGCTTATTTAGAAAAAAAGAGTAAGCAGACAGTAGCTGATTCAGAAATCAGTACTCCAGTCCCTGTGTCCCCGGAGGGGCTGGGTGGGGCCAGCGGGCAGCCCCCCTACCCCCCACCGTGGGCGTGCGGGGAGCCACGTGGGGCCTGTGGCTAGGCACATGCCCCCACCTGGGTCTTCCTGTGTGGCGGAGGCCGCAGCAGGGCGGAGGCTGGGGAGAGTAGGCACAGCTGCCTGGCACAGGCGGCACACGCAGGCTAAGGTCACGGCCCTGGTATCTGGGTCTGGCTGGGCAGCTTTTCAGGGCAGACAGTCAAGACACAAAGCCTCACTATGAGCATCAGGAAAGGCCCTCCATCGAAGCTGCTTGCCACCATTCACGGGGCGATTCACAGTGGAACTGGGGGCAGAGCAGCCCAAGGCTCAGGAAGCAGATTGGGAGGGGCCACAGTTTCCTGGCCCGCTCCAGGCATCAGTGGGGTGGAAAGAGCCCAGAGGAACCTGGGTTCTTAATTCTTTATCCATCTGCGCAGCTGAAGTATAAAGATCCTTTTCAGAGCTCTCCCTGGGCTGGCTCTCCCGCCGCAGGACACACACAGCATTGTGTGCGAGGACATTCCCCATCGCCAGCAAAAGGGACAGAAAGGCCCTTTCAGTTAACTGCAAAATAAGCAGGGCTCTGTCCAGAGACAGGGCCCCTGCCTCGTGGGCTCCTGGTAACTCATAGGCTGTCTGAGCACAGTTTACTGCCTACGGTCTATTGCATTAGGGTTTTTCAAATGCGCTTTGGTCAACAATTCTTTATGCACACCTATATGCAAAACATACCAGTATAGGTCTGCGTGCAAACAGCTATTCTTCAAATATCCTTTAGACATTCAAATGTACAGGTATACATATTTATATGTAGTCATCCTCTTGACTAGCAATATAGAAGATCTATGACGTAGGTCAAATATTTAGTACAAGGTAACAAGATCTACAGGCTGGGAGTGACATACAAAGCTATTAGAGTAGTAACATAGCTTTGTATCCTTTCTTTGTTTCTCCGAACCTGAGTCATCCTTCAGTCCAGTTAATTCTTTCCACTTACAGATGGCAACACTTGTACTCCCTTTTCCGCTGTGACTCATTCATTCATTTACCAAGCATTTTGAGGGGCCTGCCATGTGCCAAGTGCTATTCTAGGTTCCTGGGGTAGAGCAATGAACAGTGTGGTCAGCGATCCATGGCCAGAGGCTTGCATTCTAGTGAGGAGACAGGTGTCCACTGTGGTGTCAGAGGAGGACAGGGATGGAGAGAGGGGACTTTCTGGAGAGGTGACCTTTGAGTGCAGATCTGAAGGTTATAAGCCAGGGCGTCCCATGGATATCAAGGCTGTAGGCAGGAGAAGTGGCAACTCCTTTGCTCACTCGAGTTACATTGCATTCATTGGCAAAAGCCAGCCCTGGTCAGACCCAACTCACCACCCACCACACACCCACATCTGCGGGAAACCATGCCACCGTGCTGGCTGGCCTCATTGACATTTATGCCCAGAATCTCGGTGGAGGGTGGGAGCAAGTGGGAGCCTTCATGCTTCCATCACACATGCTGTCTAGGCGGTGGGCTCTTATTCCTCAGATGGCCAAGCCCCACCAGCTACTCTCCTGGCTTCACTCTCAGCTGACGCCTTCCCATTTCCCTCAGTAATCCGAAGAGCCACCGACCGCTCCAAGATTCCCACACCTATGTACTTACCTATTTCAATCTTGCCCAAATCCTTCCTCCTGCACTCCAGGCAGGCCGAGATGGGGCTGGAGGCAGGAGGGGACCAAAGAGTTGGCAGCTGCCCAACTAGGATGCAAAGAGAAGGCTGACATGCAGGAGGCCCTGGCTGGAGCATGTGGCTGCCGCACAGGCTTACCAGCTGTCAGCACTGGACGCACGGGAAGCTGGCCCTGGGCTCATAGACTCTGTGTCCCCAGTGCTTTGTCAGCTACACCCCCAGAACTCGGGGTTCAGGCGAAGTGGGCCACAGCCTTCCACTCGGAGAGATGTCCTCACTGCCACCGTGCTCGGAGGAAGCATGGCACTCGGGCTCTAGACCGTGGCTCTCAAGTGTGGCTCCTGCGCCAGCAGCATCAGCACCACCGGGCAACTTATTAGGGATGCACATTCCTGCGCCACCCCCCCAGAGCTGCTGAGTCGGAAACTCTGGGAGTGGGTCCCAGCCACCAGTGTTTTCATGTGCTCCCCGAGGAATCCTAATGCATTTGGGAACCACAGACCTGGACCAGTTCCAGGCGATACTGATGTTGCTGGTTCCAAGACCCACTTTGAGAACCACTACTCTAGAAATGTTGTCAGCAAATTACTCAGTTTATGAGTCATCGTGTTGTTCATTAACAAGTATTACTGAATCCCTAAGGCTGTAATAATGTTTAATAATAATAATTACCTCTGAGTAAGGGGATTGCGGGCAACTTTTTAAAAAGTTTATGTATCTCTATTGTTCAAAGTTGTTATCATAAACATGGATTGCTTTTGTAGATAAAAGTTACAAGAATTTAAAATAAGAATATCTTATTCTAGTATACGTCTTTACAGCTGTGCTCCTCACACTTAATTGTACAAATAAACCACTCAGCCTCCAGGAAGAGGTGACTGGGCAGAGATGGGAAGGGTGAGCACTGAGAAGTTCAAGGTGAGGCCCTGTACACACCAGGAAGCTCGGGCAGCCAGAGAACGGGGTGGAAAGGCCCCCACGCCAGTTCCAGGGAACCGTGCGAGAAGGCGGTGCAGGGAGTCAGTGTCAATCTAGGTCCTGGGTCAGCATGGAGGGTGTGGACACAAAAGGGTTCTATGGAAAGTAATCTCCAAGGGTGATCTGATCATAAATTCTCAGCGAGGCACGTCATGGGGGGCAGTCATGCACCAGGCGTGTAACCTCTTCCGTAAAAGGCTTCTCTTTGTCGTAAGCAAGCCCGTCCCTTGTCTCTGTGCCCCCCTCCTAGAGCGAGATCAACCTCAAGAGAGCGTGTGATACATAGTTTGTTTTTTTAAATATTTTTATTGATTTCAGAGAGGAAAAGAGAGGGAGAGAGAGATAGAAACATCAATGATGAGAGAACCATTGATTGGCTGCCTCCTGCAACGCCCCATCCTGGAGATCAAGCCCGCAGCCCCCGCATGTGCCCTGACTGGGAATAGAACCGTGACCTCTGGGTTCACAGGTCAACATTGGACCTCTGAGCCATGCCAGCCTGGCAGGACAGCACCCGATCTTAACTGTCCTGTAACCCATCCTCGCCCTGCTTCCTCCCACCTTCAGGCCATCTTCCTTAGGTTTCCTCCCGAATTCCAAATGCAAAAAAGAAGCTGCAAACTGTCATTTTCTTGGACGCATTTATCTGTTAAAATCCCGCCTCCAGGCGTATCCTCTGTTTGACTCCAGTTAATTTTCACAAACATTCTCCACAGGTTTGGATGGTCTTAGCTGGCGAGGGTTTAAGCAGGGGAGTGAGTGGCCTGGCATTTGCCTTGGGATCACTCTGAGCTGCTGTGCAGAAAATGAAACCTCTCACCTGGGAGGTGGTGCGGGGGCGCCCAGGAGTCAGTGCCCGGCCCCCAGTGGATCTACCTGGGGGTCAGGAACACCCACAGGAATGAGGAGCCACCAGGGCCCGCGTTTTTATTGCTGCTCTAAGGACCTCAAACCCGCGCTCCAGGAACATGACTTTTTCCTTTTCAGAGGACTTGGCTCCACCAGGCTTTGCTGGTTACGGCGGCTTCTTGGACACGTCCCCCTCCGCGCCTTAGTCTCCCCCACCTGTCCAAGAGGACGTCGGGCCAGCCCTCGGGTGACACGCCGGGCCTCCGCTCCCGCACTTCGGACAAGTTGGGCAGCGGGCACCGCCCGGTCAGAGGAAGCGTCCAGGGGTACACGCGGGGTGGGCTTCCTGCCCGGGAAACTGAGGCACGGCGGGGCGAG